TGTCCCTTCCTTCCCCCCACCTCCATTTTTCTTGCCTGGCTTCTGTGCCACCCAGATTTCCTGCTCCTCTATGTCTTCTTCAGAGCCTCTTCTGTGAGACTCCTTCTCCATCCAGCTTGTAGGTGTTAAAAGCCCACCAGGACCTGTCCTTGAGCCTTTTCCTCTCCACCTACCACACTCCCTCGGGGGGGGAGGGACCTAGTGTTGCTGTAGCTTCAAGCATCATCTGTAGGCTGCAAGTGCCCATATTTGCCTCTCCAGCCTGAGCCACACCTTTGAGTGATGCACAGATGCTCATTTTCTCTCTACATTTGGAAGTCGTGCAAGCATTTCATGTCTCATACAGCCAAACACAAACTTGTGATTTTTCCCTCCACACTTGTTATTCCTTGGTTTTCTACATTTCAGCGAAGGGCACCACCATTCACCCTCTGCCTGAACAAGAAACCCGAGGGTTATGCTCGATTCTCTTCCTCTCTCCGTCTCATCTCCTACGGTGACATGTAAAATACACTCTCAATCCGGCTCCCTCTCTCCATCTGTGCTCTTGCCTCCACAGCCTCAGCCACCATCATCTGTTTTCTGGGTTGTTGCAATCCTTTCTCCAATATTCCAGAGGTATCTTTTTTGAAACATCATTTCATTTCCTTCCTTAAGACCCAACTGCAGCTTCCTACTAAAAATAGAATGAAACCCAAACTCCTCGCTACCAAACTGTCAAAGCTCTGCAACTCCACCTGTGACCACCTCTCCGCCCATTCAAGGTTTCTCTTCTAATCTTTCACCTTCCACCATACAACCCACTGGCTTTCAATGAGTAAGTGGCTCTGAATAAAGAATGCACGAATGAATGAAATGCCGAGATTTACAGAAAAGTACATATAAAAATTAGAATGTGATCCTAGAACTATTAAAAACTGTGGTTTTTTTCAAATTTTCTCAAAGATACTTGGATGACACACACCCCCATTCCTAAAAATTGCAGAACTCCTTAGTCTGAAGCAATGTTTACATCAGCCTAACTCAGCTAATACACATCTAATTTGTACAAACACACACACTCACACACACACACTGAAAACACTATCAATATTATTAGAAAGGGAAAATAAGTGGGATCTATGATGCCAGGAAGAGAAAGCTATTTCTCATAATAAGTTAGAACATTTGTGTTTTGCATCTCTCAGGCACACGCTTTGCAGCCAGATGTTCAAGATCTTTTTCAGGTCAAGGCAAACTCACTGTATGACTTTTTATAAGCAGCTCAGCATTTCAGTTGGGCTCTATTTGCCTTTGTCTCTCTTCCCCTCAGAGTTACTATTACAAGAAGCAAAATCATTCGTAAGGTGTCATACTATTTTGAAAAGAAGTGTCACATGCATGAATCCCAAATAATACAGAAAACTGTAGAACCAAGCAATGAGAAACTGGTAAGTTCTAGGAGGATCTGAATTGGTTGCCTTAATTGGATGAACTATAGCTATAACAAAGCCCTAAAGGTTACCTGCTTCAGTTGTATATAGACTTGTTTTAGATCAAATTTTAAAGACAATTTTAATGTCATGATTAGAAGCTATTTTTCCTTAAAAAATTTAGATAGATAGAGTTGCCATATAATCTAAGAATTCTAGTCCTACATGTGCTCCAGGAGAAACAACACATGTCCACATGAAGATTGGTATGCAAATGTCCACAGCAATATTATTCCCTAACTGGAAACAACTCACATGTGTGTCTATCAATTGATCAATGAAAATATGTGAAGTATTTCTATAATGGAATATTATTTAGCAATGAAAATAAATGAGGTGCTAGTGCACGCTACAACATTCACAAACCCTTGAAAACATTGTGCTCAGTGCAAGAAGTCATTCACAAAGAACCATATATTGTCTTATTTCAATTTATAGGAAATGCCCAGAATAGGCAAATCTATATAGACAGAAATTAGCTCTGTGGTTGCTTAAGGCTGGAAGTTACAAGATGAGAGGAGGGAGGGAGCTATAGCTAAGGGATATGGAGTTTCTTCTTGGGTGACTAAAATATTCTATAACTGATTGTGGTGATCACTGTACAATTTTCATATACTAAAAATCACAGACTTGTACATTGTAAATGGGCAAATGGTATGACATGTGCACTATATCTCAATATAGTTGTTGCAAGCCATAATCATAGGCTGTTTCCCTTAAATTCTTTCTCTTCACAGTTTTAGAAGATTCATTTTGTTAAGTTAATTAATAATGTGTTGTTAAATGCCATCATATATATTTACATTTTTAACAATATGAAAATTGACAGAGGTAGATTAAACCTCTGATGTTCCTAGCCTGTGGGTTGCACGCATTCATTTGTAATCACCATCTTTGGAAGCCTCCAGGACTGACCAAGCTGTTTGCAATGTCAAGGCTTAGTTTGTTCAGGCTGCTATAACAAAGTACCATAAGTGGGTGGTTTATAAAGTACAGAAATATGCATTTCTCACAGTTCTGGGGGCTGGAATTTCAAGATGAGAGTCCAGCGTGACGGCGTTCCGTGGAGGCCTTTTACCGATTTGCGCACTGCCACCTTCTCACTGTACCCTCGCATGGAAGAAGGAGGACAGGAGACTCTGTGTCCCTTCAGAAGGGCAAAAGTCCCGTCCATGACATTTTCTTCCTCAGGACCTAATCACCTCCTGAACGCCCCAAGTCCTAGTAGCATCACTTTCAGGGATACCATTGCAATGGAAAACCAGAGAGACAAATACTCAGTCCACAACAGAAGCATGATATTGTCTTTGCCTTTGGAGTTCATCTGTCTCCTCTCCAGAAGACAGAGCAAGCACCATTTCTGTTAGGGAAATTAAATGTCTCTTTCCATTGGGTATCTTTTTTTCTTTTACATTTTTCAGCATTTAGATTTAGTCCTTATTATAAATAAAATGTCACTGAAGGTCAGTGTGGTCTTACAATGAAGGCGTTCCATCGCCACAGCACAGTGGACTGGATGTTGTCCTGCTTTCTTGTCTTCCGCACAGCTATAGCGAAGCTTTCTGGAATGATCTCATTGACGTGGAGACAGTGAAAGCCCAAGAATTGCATTGGTTTAATATCATGTCCTGGCTGAAACTGCAACAGCCACAGTAGTGTCCAATCTTAATATTCAACAATGGCACACGAGACTCTCAGGGGTGAACTGTGCCTGTGAAACTGAATTTGGTGATACTGGCTGCTCATTCTAGCAAGCACTCTGGGTTCACTTTTGTTTCAAGGTTTTGTTCCCCTACATGTCATTTTTGGAGTACTTTATGTTTCAACTTGTGGAGTCTCTGTATTAAAGACAGACAACCATTTTAACAGCCTGGTTGCTTCCACTCTGGTAAGAAAAGTGACTCGTTTCCTAAGTCTTCAGAGAATATGGTCCTGCCCACCTGGAAATAGTGACTTTTTTAAAAAGAATGCCAAAGCACACACTACCACGATGGTTAAACCAAACAAAACAATATTCCCCAGAGTTATCCCAAACATATGTTACTTCATGATTATAGATTTTAATAATTTGGAATTAAATTGTTGTTACACAATCCCACATTGACCCATGTCATTCAAAAGACATATAAGTCATATTTAATTTTTAAATTTTTCAAAAGATAAGATGCTTAAGCCATTAATGGCTTATATTTGTGAAACACAAATGTAACTATTCCCACAGAATCCTAGGTATTCAAGAAAATGACCAAAACAAAATATTACTTGTTTGGAATTGTTGATTCAATTTTCCTTTTGTAATAATGCTTCTGATGTTAACACACCAGGAAGTATGTCATCAGCTTTTGTTTTGTTTAAAGTTTAAGTATTCCATACAATAGCAAAATGGGAATACATTTTATTGAGGGGAAAAAGGACTCTTCTCTTTCCCGCAAAACTCAAAACAAAACAAATTCATAGTTTCCTGAAGTAAATGGTATGCAAGTCATAAACAAGCACTGGAATCCCAGGGCAGGAGTCACTTCTCTGTTCAAGCAGGGACTCTAACAAGTGGGAGAATGGGGCCTCAGAAGCCCTGGAACGGAAGGCAGTTCTGCCCAACTTGGAATAAACAGCAGCAGGCAGGGGCGGGCTCCGGTGGGGGAGCAGGGACACAGGAAAAGTAGAAAGATGAGAAAAACATAAATACGAAGATAAGTGATTGAACTCAGACTCAGATAAGACAAAAGATGCTGGTGGCTGCATTTCCACCTTCTATCAGTGACAAATAAGATAAAAGAGACATCAAGCTTGGATCTCTGGAGGGTCACTGGGCCTGAAGCTACCATCAGGGATGCCCTTAACACACGGGACAGCCTCAGACCCATGCCAAGGTCAGGGGGCAAGGGTCAAGGTCCCTGGAAGCATTAGCCATCAGCACCCCAGGGGACGCCACTCTAGACTTCCTCTCTGCACCAAAACTGACCTGCATCACTTTCTTTAAAAAGAAAAAAGTTAATAATATTTTATGTCCCTGAATATAAGAATGAAACTTGTTAAAGAAAAAAATGTATAAAAAAGAAAAAAATCAAATTACTTCCTTTCTATTCTGAAATAATTCTCATTAACATTTTAGCATTTTCTCTTGCAACGGTTTTCAACACAGATATGGTTAGAAACTAGAACAATGATGAATATTGAGCTTTGTATCCTGCTTTTCTCTCTTTGAAAATCATTTAATCGTATATGGTGTGAAATTCCCTACAACATTAAATATCCTTAGACACATGATTTTAAAGTCTGCATAATATTCTAATATAGGAATGTATCACAATGGATTACATTCTGACCTTCGGCGTTTAGAATGCTTTCAACTTTTCATTATGGCAAATGATTTTGTGATGAACATTCTTCCTAACTTCTGTTTAACAACCCAGGGAGAATCTTTGTGTTCAGTGTGGGCAGAACTGCTATCTGTTAGGGAAAAAAAAACACTCCTGCACCATATGTTTGGTGGCTGGAGGCTGCCTCATGTGGGTGTGTCCGCCAAGGATGAAGGGCAGCTTTGCTGAATTAACACAAAATCAGCCTTGTTCCCTTTACTATTGTGGCCCAGGGCTCCGACTCATCTTGAAAAACACTGTGGTTGCAACGCCAGTCAACAGCGAGCTTCCTCTTGATGGGCTGCCAAGGTCACCTGCAGGCACAACGCAGCCCTCCCTGGGGAACCTGGCTGTGTGGACCAGGTGCTCCATCATCAGGTATGACGATGACATGTGATAAGGCAGGAGCCTGACCTCACCACTCCTCTTAATTTGGTTATTTAGTGGCAAGACATACATAAGCCAACATTGACCGTTCTCTTGTTAAGCGCACGATTCAGTGGTAATAACTATGATTGCAATGACGTCACCACCATCCCTCTCTAGAAACTTTTCATCACCCCAAACAGAAACATTGTGAAATTAAACCTGAGCTCTCCACTTCCCCTTCCCTCCAGTCCCTAAGAGTCACCAGTCTTTCTGTCTCTATGAATTTGCCTTACTCAGTATCACATTTGTCCCTGTGTGTCCAGCTTATGTCACTAATTTCAAAGGGACGACTGTGTTGTAGCACGGATCTGAATTGCCTTCATTTTAAAAACTGAATAACATTCTGTTGTATGAATAAACCGCAGTTTGTCTATTCATTCATCCTTTGCTCTACATATGGGCTTGAGACCCTGATTTCTCTTCTTTGAAGTATGGACCTCCATATCCCAAAGAAGAGTGGGATGGCTGGCTCACAGGATAGTTCTACCTTCAGTTTTCTGAGGTATTCTTGAACTATTTTCATTTTCCTCTTCTTTTTTTTCCCCCTTTTATTGAGTTTACTGGTACATTTTAGGTATACAGTACAATTACATTCATCATTGGGATCGCGTACCTTTACATGACAGGTCTTGGTTCTCATTTTTTCCCCTTGTCCCTGCCCTCCCTTCACCGCCTCCTTCCCTCCCCATTTACAAACTTCCTCTTCTTTTTTTTCCCCCTTTTATTGAGTTTACTGGTACATTTTAGGTATACAGTACAATTACATTCATCATTGGGATCGCGTACCTTTACATGACAGGTCTTGGTTCTCATTTTTTCCCCTTGTCCCTGCCCTCCCTTCACCGCCTCCTTCCCTCCCCATTTACAAACTTCCTCTTCTTTTTTAATAACAGCCATTTTAATGGGTGTGGAGAGGTATCTTCTTGGGGTTTTGATTTCCGCTTCCCTAGTAACTACACAGATGAATGTCTTTCCATGAGCTTACCTGTCATGTGAATACCTTGCCCAAAGAAAGGTCTATATATGTCCTTCGCCCATGTTCTATAGTGGCCTGAGGAGCCTGCTTTGGCTGGATGTGCAAATTACTGGAATCAGAATATTTTCCACAAAGAGCGTTCAGTGAAAATAAATATTGATTCCCAAAAAAGCACAATTCAGAGGCAGTCATTAAGAGGCAAGGGGGCTTCTCCTGGGACCACGATGCAGGAAGCTGTGTGACCCTCTTGGGACCTGGAAGAGCATCAGGCCCTTACTCGGTCCTTGTCTCTGTCTCACAGGCAGCATGGTCCTGTCTCTCCCTGCACGTCTGCTCCCCGCTGCAAGGGCTTAACCTCTGCTCTTCACCCCTTCCCCAAACTGCTAGTGTCCCATGATACAAGCCCAGGCCTCCTCTTCACATGACCTTAGGGCCCTAGGGGCCCCCACTAGACTCAGCTTCTCTGTCTCCTCAGTCAAGATTTGTCCTCTGAGGTCAGAAGCCTGACTTGACCTAATCAGCTGTGGCCAAAAGGCCAAAGACAGAAGGCAAATACAATGGGCCTCTGCCTTCAGCAAGGGTTGTGGCGAAAGGAGGACCTCAAAGAAGGGCATCTGGTGGGTGGGTCACGGCAGATGTGATCGGGACGTGGAGGGAAAATTGAAAGGCTTCAAATACTCTTCACATCCCAAAATTGATCATACCCACTCTCAAACACCCATGAGCATTCTACCCTTGACGGTATTTGCCTGTGCCTTGGTGTACTTGTCTGCATGAGGCCGCCCTGAAATATTCTGTCAGGCACCGTTAGGTGATGTCGCAGTGTGTGTCCAATGCTGAGAGCAATTGCCAAGCGCACGATTGCACTTCCTTTCCAAAGGTCGAATAATGGTCTAAGAAAAGCAAATTGCTCAATCCAGAATATTTCTATACAAATGAGCTGTCTGTTGATCTCCCTGGCATTAAGTGAAAATTATATTCTCTTCCCATACTTTTATGTGGTTCAAAGGGAGCAGGCACTATTCTTAACATAAGAGAGTCAGAACTTGCAGAAGCCAAACGAACAGTTTTTAAGCACATATCCTGTAGTTAGCCTATGTGAAATTTAAACACCTTTGTGAACACTAAACTTTCATTATTTCCAAGTAACTAACAGTCTGTGGTGAAGACAATAAGCAATGACCCCTTGTAGTTAGAACAGGAACATTTTACAGATGAATTTTTTAAATCTGAAATATGAATGAAAGATAAATCATGGGTTTCCTCACTGCACATCCCAGCCCCTCCTTGATCTTTGGATGAAATATCTATTTAAATGCCATTCACATTCATTTCCCATGAAAGGAGGGGTGGAAAATGTCTCTTCACCAGTGCTCTGCTCCCAAAGGAGAGGACTGGGCTTCCTTTCTCAGCCAGGCGAAGACAGATATGACTGAAATCTTGTTCCCATCGTATGGTGCCACAGGAGAAAAATTGGTGAAGAATAAAAATGGGGAGGGGACAGTCAGACAGTGAGAGAAATTAAACACCTACTGGTGGGTGCACTTGAAGGATTTGTTTGCTCCAGGGTTAGGGCCTGAGGCAGGTGAGATGACACTTTGTATTCTGTTTATTGCTATGCCTTAAAAATAGTAGAATTTATTTTTTAGAGTAATTTTAGGTTTACAAAAAAACTGGACAGATGGTACAGACAATGCCCAATACCTCATCTGTATCACAGTTTCCCCTATTATTAACATCCTGAAGTTTGAGATATTTGTTATAAGTGAAGAATCACAATTAATACATTATTATTACCCAAAGTCTATAGTGGGGGCTCACTCCTCATGTTGAACATCCTGCAAGTTTTGACAAATATACCGTAATGTACCCACCCTAGTCATACAGAACAGTTTCGCTGCCCTAAAAATGCCCCATCCTCCAGCCATTTATCCCCCTACCCACCCATGTGAGCACTGGCAACCACTGAAGGTCTCACTGTCTTCATAGTATTTGCTATCATGCCTTTTTAATAAAATCTTCTGGAACAGCAGTGAAAACCGGTCAGCATAGGATTACAGTTGTCTCTTAGTATTCATGGGGAGGTTGGTTCTAGAACCTTCAAATACCAAAATCCAAGGATGCTCAATTCATCACATAAGATAGCAGAGTATTCACATATAATATATACACTTCCTCCTATACACCGTTATCCCTAGATTACTTATTATACCTGATACAATGTATGTTGCTGTTATAATGTGAAGGGAGTAACATGTTCCATACAGAACCATTTTACCTAATATTTTCCATCTGAGACTGGTTGTATCCATGCTTGTGGAGTCCACAGATGCTGACAGCTGACTGCATTTAAGAGTGGTGGCCTTGATTTATTGAACACATCCCCACTTTGTGCCAGGTACCCTCTCACGCATTTCACACACATTACCTCTCCTGCTTTTCATCACATGATAGAAGCTGTTATTGTCCTATTTTAAAGACAGGAATTAAGGCTTGGGCATTGGGTAAGCCATTCAGGTTACACAACTAGAAGGGGTGGGCTGAGAACCAGAGTCCAGACAGACTAGAGTATCCCTAACCATGCACTGCTCATCCTCCCTGATTTCTGGTTATTCTCAGATTGACATCATGAGCATTGTCCCTCTAAAGCAAAATGAAAGAATACTATGACTTACTGCATTATAATTTACTGTGATTAGCATAGATTCACTTCATTGGTCTTAAAATTTACAAGTTTATTTAGAATATAACATGTACATTGAAAAAAATAACTACACCTCTTTTGTTTTAAGATAAAATGACTAACTCCCTCCCCCCAAAAACCCAAATGACCCAATCAAACAAAGGGGAAATGAATTGAATAGACCTTTCTCTCAAAACAAGAACAAATGGCCAATGAGTACATGAAAAAAATGTTCAACCTCTTTAGCCATTAGGGAAATGAAAATGAAAATAACTTGAGATTCCATCTTAGTCAGAATGGCTATCATCAGGAAGACAAAAACACCATCAACACTGGTTAGGGTGTCCAGAAAATGAACCCTCCAATATGGTTGGTGAGAATGTAAACTAGTATGTAAATCAGGGTTCAGATTCCTCAAAAAACTAAAAACAGAAATTCCATTTGACCTGGCTATACCTCTCCTCAGTACATTCCCAAAAGCATTAAAGACATCATGTTGGAGTGATACATACACACCCATGCTTATAGCAGCACAAAAATGTGTAACTGAGTTCTGGAAACACTGCAGATGTCCATCAACAGATAAACAGATAAAGAAAATGAGGAATATGTACACAGCAGAATATTATTCAGCCATAAAGAAAAATGAAATAATTTCATTTGTAGGAAAATGGGTAGAACTTGAGACCATCATGCTAAGCAAAATAAGCCAGACTCAGGAAGTTAAATATCACATGCTTTCTCTTATATGAGAAACCTAAGGAAGGAAGGAAGGAAGAAAACTAGAAGATAGACTCTTGGAAAAGAAAGATCAGGGAAGGGGGCAAAAGGATTGAAAATGGGCAAGATATGTTATATGCATGTATCAATTTCCCAATATAAATATCATTATTCTATAATATAAATACACACTAATAAAAATAACACTAAATAGAATAATTTAAATTGCCTAGGAAAATATAGACAAATGGAATTATATCAAATTTAAAAACATTTGTACATCAAGGGACACAGTCCTGGGAGTAAAAAGACAATCCATGAAACAGGAGAAAATATTCGAAAATCATCTATCTGGTAAAGGGCTGTCATCTAGAATGTACCTACAATTCAACAACACAACCAGGAAAACAAAGCCAAAAAGTAACCCAGTTCAAAATGGCTGAAGGGCTTGGGCAGACAGCTCTCCAAAGAGAGAGTGCCCACGGCACCTAAAAAGCTGGTCACCACTGACACATAGCTGAGAGCCATGATGAGCTAGTGCCTCATACCAGGTAGGATGGCCAGTATGTT